TGTTAAAATACCAAGTTTCACTGAAACGTGAACGACGCGCAAAGTTTCTCAACTTTCGTCGGTGATGTACGCGATCGCACCGTTTCGTTTACTCGCGACAGAGGAGGAATCGTCGGACAAAATATTTTTGACAGCACGAAGACGCGGCCAGCATAATCGTTGCGTCAACGCGCAAAATTTTCTGCTGGCCTCGGCGTCATCGGCGATCGTTGTTGGGCTTTTTAGCGCGTAATTCCGCGTGCCGAGCGCGAATCGATTTCGGACGCACTTTCGATCGACTCGCCGCGGAAAATGTGCTGCGAGAATTCTACAATCCGAAGATTACGTCGACTTCGGGCTCGTTACGGAAGTCCCCACGGAATGAGAGAATTCTAAAAAGTCGACGCGGAATGATTTTTTCGTCAAAATACCGGCACTGTCAATTACCGGTTTTCCGTGGCAGCCACTCGACTCGTGCAATTGTATCAATTGCAGATCCCGCAGGCGCCTGTTAAGGTTGTTTAATTTCGCCTCGTCATCGACCGGCAAGACAATGAAATTTCACGGGCCGAAGCGATATTTAAGAATCTCGTTTGCACGGTTTCTGCGGTGTCATTCGCGTAATGCACGGGGCTTGCGTGTGCTTACAAAGGGATCACGCGCTTCCGCTCTATTAACGTTGATTGTATTCCTCTTTGTAATTACTTCGTGCCTCTCCATCGATGCCGCGAAATAATTACCGCCTGTCTCCCTCGGATGAACACATTTTTAATACAGCCCTGGCCGTTGTTAGGCCGCGGATCTTCGTGCAAAACACAAATTTCCATCGTCCCTCGTATCGAACAGAAATTGAATGAAAATGTATTTCTTTCTTTAGCGATGTTTAGCGATTCAACTTTTTCAATTAACAATCCTTGACTTGTTTAACTACCGTGACAAAGGAAAACCATTCGATGATATATGTTATCAATCTTGAAGAAATATTTGGTCGAATGCGATAAATAAAGACTCTGTCAAAAGTAATAGTATTCGTTGAAAGTTAACGGATAATAGGGGGGAATATTATTTTTAAGCATAGAATGAATTAATTGTCTGCCACGATTACGTATTAACTTGAAATTAAGTGCGATTAGATATGCATAATACAGTCGCGAAACAAGTATAATTTTATCGTAAAAAGATTCGTAATTTTTGCGATAATTGTATAACGCCTCGTTCGGGGTAGTTCACCCCTACTTTTTGAGACTAACTGTAAAATCATGAACATCGTAGACACAAAATAAAAATACCATTAAGATTCGTTTAATTTATTTGATATGCATGATACAGTCGCGAAATAAGTATAATTTTATCGTAAAAAGATTCGTAATTTTTGCGATAATTGTAACGCCCCGTTCGGGGTAGTTCACCCCTAATTTCTGGGACTAACGACTTCGTAAAATCGTCCACACTGTGGACAAAAAAGTAAAAAATACCATCAAGGTATATTCGATTTATTCGATACGCATGATACAGTCGCGAAACTAGCATAATTTTATCATAAAAGGATTCGTAATTTTTACGATAATTGTATGACGCCTCGTTGGGGGTAGTTCACCCCTAATTTCTGGGACTAACAACTTCGTAAAATCGTCCACACTGTGGACAAAAAAATAAAAAATACCATCAAGGTATATTCGATTTATTCGATACGCATGATACAGTCGCGAAACTAGCATAATTTTATCGTAAAAAGATTCGTAATTTTTTGGGACAAAGAATACAAAAATACCATCGAGGTTTTTATTCACGGATCGCCTGCATCGCGTTTCGAAATTCCGTGTACAATAATTGCCGATATTCCCGAGATTGCAAATTCAGAAAAGCTCGCGTATTTTTCCATCGATCCAAGGACCCCGCCGCCCATTAATAATCTTCCGCTGTCCACGGCGCGCATTTTAATTTCGCAAGAATTTTCATTCCACGGCAAAATTGGATCGCCGGCGCACGGTCGTCGATCTGTGTTTTAATTTTATAATTGAAACGGAACGGAGAGGGAGGGGGGGTGGCGAAGGAACGGCGCCGCGGAAAATTCGATAAATAAATCAGTTTTCAACGGCACGTCGCGGATTTGTTTGCTAGCCGCGCGGCGAATAATTTGTACGCGAGGAAGGATATCTATTTCAGACGTTTTATCGACGCGTTCAGCGCTGAAAAAATAACACGTTTCCCACCGTTTGCGTTCGTAATCGTGCACCCAGCGCGGCGCGGCCCGGCTTTCTCCCGCGAGAAGGCAGCTCGCGAGATTCGCAGCGCGCGTCGAGCGACCCCACGGTTTCTAAAAAAAAAGAAATTCCGCCTCGACGGTCGGCCGGCGCACGTTTCCGTTCGCAATTAAAACGCGCGAAAATTCTGGACCGGAATCGAATTTTTTTCTGCACATCCAGGCGGTGGCGGCTTCGAAATTTTTCCGCAATTTCTGCGGCCCCGGTTTTCGGGACGAAACGGGCAGAGAGTTCTTAGCTCGCAGCTCGTTCCGCGATGCGATTAACGTTTACGTTGCCACGCGCATTCGCGATTATCGCGTGCGGGGAGAAGCGAGCACGACGGAATGTCGAATGCGATCACGCAAAGATGTTTCGCGGAACAGAATTTTTATACGCTGACGATCGATGATCCGAAGTCTTGACTTCTCGGTCTTCGATTTCAAAAAATCGACCGCCTTGAAAGGCGTGCATCCATGAAGTCGATGCAATTAATACAAGTGTATAGAGGGTGTCCCAAAAATGTCTCGCAATCCGAAAGTAGGGGATTCCTGAGGTCATTCGAAACAAGTTTTTCCTTAGCGAAAATGTGATCCGCGGCTTCGTTTACGAGTTATTAACGAAAAACAGTGACCAATCAGAGGCCAGATCGTTTGGCGCGAGACGGCCGAGCCAATGAGCGGAACTGGGCTCCGTGCACTCGGTGGCTGGGCCGCCGCGCGCCAGCCGAGCTCCCCTCTTATTGGCCACCGTTTTTCGCTAATAACTCGTAAACGAAGCCGCGGATCACATTTTCGCTAAGGAAAAAGTTACTTAGAATGACCTCAGCTACCCCACATTTCCGTATTGCGAGACATTTTTGGGACGCCCTGTATATATAATACAAATAACGCTCGCCTCGGCCGTTGTAAACACGCGGCGTTTTGCCTTAGGAGGCAAAGGTGTCTATATATACTGCCGCAAATTTGATAACGGGGGATTTTTGTAGATATCGCTATCGCTTATAGACCAGTCTTATTCAGCGCCCTTGCGCCCATACGAAGCCGTGCTTCCATTTCATAGTCTCAGTGAAGCCGTGCTTCGCTTCGTACCAAATTCGAAGCCGTGCTGCAATTTATACGTCGAACGGAGCCGTGCTCCAAGAATTGTAAACGAGGACTGTGGAGTCCAATAAATAAATCGTTGTCGTCTCCTTACGACTTCCGGCGGTTATTTTGTGCCGTGCGCAACAGTGTGCAAGCGTTTAAAATAATGAACGTGTGCGAATGCTCCAAATAATAAACGCGTGTAAAACGATAAAGATGTTAAACAAATTGCTTCGATTTCATCGAGTTCGCGCGATTTTTCCCGCGGACTAGGTCGAGCGACGCGTCGAACGTACTGGCGGCGTCGTCCGAGTTCCACGAAAATGTTTGATGCCACGAACGTACGCGCGGTTCCGCGCGCAGCCCGCCGATTGTTATCGTGCCGCTCCGCGCGGGACCGTCGGTTTCGATCTCCAACGAAAGCAATCCGTTCGTTTCATTGTTCCGTTTCCCCGCAATGGAGCCCGGGCACAGCACGCGACAGAGTGAAGCGCATTTCCGGTCGCCGGTCGCCGGGTGTATCGACAGACACGCTTGTTACGCTCTTCAAATATTTGTTCTGCCCTAACCGTGATGCATCGGAGCGCACGGTTTCACCGTTCGATCGTGATCCAAGGATCACGGGGCCCGTTCGCCCACTGTGCTGCACCCTTTCACGACTTTCGGACCGCGGTCAAGAATCGGCCAATTCGAACGGATATCAACCCCTGTTACACTACTGCCGCCTGTCACGTGTCCTCGAATTCTCGTCGCTAATTCGCTTTTGTTATCAGCGGCTCCGAATCGATTTCGTCGCCCTAAATTAATTTTATAAATTACACGATTTTATATTCCACCGGATATCCTTTTGGAATTCCGACTCGCGGCGGTCGATTCCTTGCAACAACGGAATTCTGTTAAATTAGACGAAGAAACCGAGGAATTCCGCCATATTAATTTTGTTTATTGTTCTAATTTTCATTATTTTTACGATTTTTGGACCGCGGTCAAGAATCGGCCAATTCGAACGGATATCAACCCCTGTTACACTACTGCCGCCTGTCACGTGTCCTCGAATTCTCGTCGCTAATTCGCTTTTGTTATCAGCGGCTCCGAATCGATTTCGTCGCCCTAAATTAATTTTATAAATTACACGATTTTATATTCCACCGGATATCCTTTTGGAATTCCGACTCGCGGCGGTCGATTCCTTGCAACAACGGAATTCTGTTAAATTAGACGAAGAAACCGAGGAATTCCGCCATATTCATTTTTTTTATTGTTCTAATTTTCATTGTTTCAACGCTAGAACTTGCCGAGCATTAAATGCGATTAATATATATCGTTTTATAATGATGCGATCGGATAGATTCCCTACGATTCCTGCGATTTTTATTGTAATTGTGTGCTTCGATGAAGAAGTTCGTATAAAAGTGTCTAATGTAAACTTTATTAACACTAAACCTACCAAGCAGTAATACTGACTGGCATGTACTGCTTCACAAAAGTAAGAGCTTAAACTTGCTCCAATAATATAACTTATTCAAGCGTTTTCCACGGAAGAGTCTCGGAACTTTGCAGAATTGGAAAGTAAGAAAGCGGTCGCTTTGACCGCGATAGGTTTAGTGTTAATAACTGATAACAATTTTCGTCTGATTTTCCGTTCGTCCGTGTACACGTTTTCATCCGAAATTCCCGTAAACCGATCTTGCAGATTGAATTGCTCCGGTCAAGATGAGGGTCGATCAGATCGGGCTGCTTCTGTGGAAGAACTACGTCGTCCGGAAACGTCAGCCGGTAACTATCGCGTTCTCCGTTCGGAATATTTTTGGTTTCGCAGCTGCGCCGGCCAAGGGAGCACGTTAAAATCACCCTCGCAAATTTCAATGTTTAGGGGATATTGGCTCTGGTGTTCGTATGGCCGGTGATCGTGTTCATGATCCTCTACACGATCCGCGACAACGTGGACCCGGAGTACTATCCGACTTGCCAATTTCCTGCGAGGTCGATGCCGCGGAATGGGCTGCTACCGTTCGTACAGAGTTTCATTTGCAGCCTCGGAAACCCGTGCGATCCTCTCGCGGAATACGAAGAGGTCCCGTCTTACAGGAACGCCACGTTAGTGCCGGAAAATATGAATATTTCGCGCGCGATCCGATCTACAGTAATGTCTCCCTTACTGACGCTCAGATTGTCCATAAAAATGGGCAATTTTGGAGGAGGAGATACGATTATTCGAACCTTGCGCCGCTCGTTTTTATAATTGTGGACAATTTATAACTATAAAAATAAACCGCAAGGCTCGAATAATCGTGTCTCCTCTTCCCAAATTGTCCATTTTTCTGGACAATCCGAGCGACAGTTAGGGGGACATTACTATATTATGAAGATAAACTCCGCGAGGAATCATCGTAGACTGCAAGGGTTACTTTAAAGTTCTGTAACTTCGCGAACAAAAATCGCAGCCAAGTTTCTCTTTTTTCAAATGAAAGGAGAAGGATCGAACTTCGTTCCACGGTAAACGGCATCTCCGGAAAAAATTTTACAAAGTTCGTGCATTTCGTCAAACTTGGCAAGATCAAGATTTCCAATGTGACAAACATGAGTTCGCATTCGAAGGGTTGCAACAGCGAGGGAGTATCAAATTTAGAATCCAGAAACAGCGTCTTAAAGTAAAGGTTTCAAGCTTCAATTTAGAAAAAGAATCGTCGTTCTACGATGATTTTCGGCGGAGTTATCGTCGGTCGAAGTTGGCCGATCTTTTTATCAAAAATTTCTCTACTTTATAATCTTCTCGAGCAGTGTACAGTAATGTCTCCCCAACTGACGCTCAAATTGTGCTGAAAAATGGACAATTTCGGAAGAGGAGATACGATTATTCGAGCCTTGCAACTCGTTTTTATAGTTGTTAACAATTCGAAACCATAAAAAACGAGCCACAAGGCTCGAACAATCGTATCTCCTTTTCCAAAATCTTGTCCATTTTTCTGGACAATCCGAGCGTCAATTAGAGAGACATTACTGTACTCGCGACCACCGTGCCCATCGCGATCCTTCCGCTGTGTCGGTACGTCGTTCGCGCGGTTTTCCCGCAAACGCGCGCCGATTCGTTGCATTCGGCAACCGAGATGTTACGAACGGAACCTTTTTTCTATGGAAACCGAGCACCGTGAATTTTAAGCTGAACAAATGGAAACGTGCTGCATCGAGAACTCGTAGCGCTCTCAGAACGATCCTTCAAAATTGATCGACAGCGGATTGATCGAACGATCGAAGATGGCCGTCGCTCGAAAATCTGTGACAAAAATGAGTGGATCAAATGCAGAGTAGAAAAATTATTTGAACAATTCGAAGATATTGCATCGCTGATATTATTTGATATTTAAATATATAGACTTTTTACCTATATATGTTTAAATATTCAATATATATTGTTAAACTGTACAATAAATTATTATATATTATTATTATATATAATATATTATATATTATAATATTATATATTATTATATATATATACATGTACAATAAATTATTATATATTATTATTATATATAATATATTATATATTATAATATTATATATTATTATATATATATACATGTACAATAAATTATTATATATTATTATTATATATAATATATTATATATTATAATATTATATATTATTATATATATATACATGTACAATAAATTATTATATATTATTATTATATATAATATATTATATATTATAATATTATATATTATTATATATATATATATATATAACTATAATATGTAACTATATATATATAGTTAATTATGCTTGAAAATAAAGGAAAGGCACGGTAATTGGCTACCCCACAGTAACTGCCTCCACCACCCTAGCACTCCCAATTTTCGAGCGACAGCGGACCGCCGAGAAATAAGAAAATTGTTGATCTATTTGTAATACAATTGTAAAACATAATACAGTCTAGGTCCGCTGGTGATGGAACTGCAGCCGATGCTGAACAACGACACGATTCTTTCCGCCGTGAGGACGCTGCCGAACAGCATTCAGCTGCTAAAGTCAATGGCGCAGATACTCACGAAACCGGAAATCAAGGCACTGTTCGGTAAGATCTCTTCTTCCCACGGCCCGCCCCGGCCCGCTACCTTGAATCCGAAATCCACGGGTTTTACCGGCGACACCGAATTCGACGAATTCACTGCTTTCCAGATCGTGGCATACGATTGGGCGATCTGTTCAACAACCACGAGGACATCAAAAGAGTCCTCAGGAGTCAGATGCCGGACGCGAGGAAAGGATTGGTCGACGACCTGTTCGACTCGTCTATAAAATTAGTATATGTTAGTGTCGTCGGCACGGAACCGTGCATCCCTCCAGCCAACGTACCATCGATCCTCGCGTGTTCTCTTTGTTCTTTTTTTTTTACAACGCGTTCGGTCCAAGTCGTTCCGACTCGACGTATATTCGTCGCGAGTAGGACATAAAGGAGAGGGAGATCGCGATCCGATTCGTTTAATGTAAACAGCGTGATTAGGGGATGAATCGTGTAATTTTTAGCGCGACTGTACGTTGACTGTACGTTGTGTACACGAAAATGGACAATTTCGGAAGAGAAGATATTATATTATAGTTGCTTTATTATTATTATTTTATACTTATTATTTATACTTTATGGTTTTATTCTTATTATTTATACTTATTATTTATTCTTATTATTTATACTTAATTATTTTATACTTACTATTTGTACTTTATTGTTTTGTTCTTATTATTTAAACTTAATTATTTTATACTTATTATTTGTACTTTATTGTTTTATTCTTATTATTTATATACTTTATTATTTGTACTTTATTGCTTTATACTTACTATTTATACTTTATTGTTTTATACTTGCTATTTATACTTTATTATTTTTACTTTATATTTTATACATATTATTTATACTTTATTATTTTTATTTTATTCTACTTTATTTATTATAGATTTTATAGTTACAACTCGATCGTCAACAACTATAACAAACGAGCCGCAAATTGTCCATTTCTGTGCGCAATCCGAACCAATTAAATTCGCCCAATCAGGGCGAATTTACCGAGCTTTTAATATCGAATTTGTTCCTCCTCCCGTAATCGTCAGCTGATCGAAGGATTCGGCACGTCGAACGTCGGCGAGGTGCTTTGCTCGCCGGACATCTTGAAGAAGTACTTGATCCTGCCGACGGAGAAGGACTACGTCCTGGTCTCGAAGATCCTGTGCGACATCGACTCGGAAACGATACCCAGCATCCTCGAGAACTTATCCAAGCATCTGGATTTCACCGGCATGCTCAAGATGGTGGATAGAGTAATGGCCAAGTTTCGGGACTACGATATCTTCGTGGACCTGAGACGCGCCGTGGAAACGATCCTTGATCTGCAGACCTCGAGGAAGTACATTCCCGAGTACCTCAGGATCCGGCAGTGGTTGCCGAAGATCATCATGGCGTTCAAGAATGTTACCTTCAAGGAGATCGATCTTACCTTGTGAGTAGACTCGAGACGAACTCTGGCCTCTCCATAACTTATCGGAAGTCTGCTCGGTCGTCTTATTTATTTAAATCGGCCTGAGCTACTTTTAATGATCATAGTAATAATAATAATAATTTTCATTCGCAAGTACACAGCTGAAATCCTTTGCTACAAAAGATATGGATTATAAAAAAGAGATTTCGCATAGCTCTTAGACGAGTACAATAAACATGAAATATATAATGAATATATAAATATAATAAATATAATATCAATATCAATATCAATATCAATATCAATATCAATATCAATATCAATATCAATATCAATATCAATATCAATATCAATATCAATATCAATATCAATATCAATATCAATATCAATATCAATATCAATATCAATATCAATATCAATATCAATATCAATATCAATATCAATATCAATATCAATATCAATATCAATATCAATATCAATATCAATATCAATATCAATATCAATATCAATATCAATATCAATATCAATATCAATATCAATATCAATATCAATATCAATATCAATATCAATATCAATATCAATATCAATATCAATATCAATATCAATATCAATATCAATATCAATATCAATATCAATATCAATATCAATATCAATATCAATATCAATATCAATATCAATATCAATATCAATATCAATATCAATATCAATATCAATATCAATATCAATATCAATATCAATATCAATATCAATATCAATATCAATATCAATATCAATATCAATATCAATATCAATATCAATATCAATATCAATATCAATATCAATATCAATATCAATATCAATATCAATATCAATATCAATATCAATATCAATATCAATATCAATATAATATAACATAATATATAATATAATAATATAAATAAATATATAAAGAAACTTCGAAGCTTTGCAACCGCCAAAGAAAATTTTCGTTTATCGATCGAAGGGACGTTTTTTGTTAGGCATGTTTTGTTTTTTTAACAATTTAAGAACCTGTTGCATAAACGTAGACGGTATCTCCGAATGTTCCCGCAGCGTGAACAAGACGTTGGAGATCCTCAACCCCGTTTTCAAGACCGAGGCTGACTGGCCCATCGCCCAACAAGCGTTCTCGAGGCTGCAGAACATATTGGCGATGCTGAAAGAGATGGGGGTGGATCAGCGGGGCGGTTTCACAGGGGACATCTTCGCCGCGATAGAGCGTTTCGTGAGCACGTTCCAATTCCTACCCCCGGTGCCAGCGGAGGGCATCGAGAAACTCGCGCGTATCGCGGACGTCGGTTTCGCCATTTTGCAGAGCGGCGCGCAACTGAGCTCGAAGATATTGGACCGGCACAAGGAGGATCTCAATCTGTACGTTCGCCGAAATTTCGGCCTAGCATGTCGCATAGATAACACCGCTTGTCGTAGAGAATAAGCGAAGCTTATTTTTCCATTGGGTATAAATTTATTCCGCGTGTACAGCGAACGATTTTATCGGGCCGGGTCCATAAATAACTTCCGTTTCTTTGTCAGAAATTTGTTTCGTTCATTTTTATTTATTTATTTTGTTTTTTTTTAAATTTTACTCATTTACTTCGCTCGTTTCTATTTTATTTATTTATTCTGTTTCTTTTGATTTCATTTATTTATTTTGTTTTCTTTTATTTCATTTATTTTCAACCCTTGTCTATTTAGCGAATAGATCGGGGATGCTATTTATGGCTCGACCTAATATAATTGCCACAAGATAAATCCAAGGACCACTGATCGATGGACAAGGGGTAATAGAATTAATTCTCTTCAATCGTTCCTCAGTCTGTAATAAAAAACGGACAATTTCGGAAACACGACTGTTCGACGCTTTGCTGCTCGTATTTATAGTTATTGACAATCGGCGGCTATAAGAACGAGCCGTAAAGGGTCGAACGATCGTATCACCTCTTCCCGCATTGTCCATTTTTGTCTACAAGCCGAGGGACAATTGGGGAGAATTTACTGTGACGTTGTGAATAGCCTGCGGATTATTCTGCATTTATGAGAAAAATGAATAGAAGGATTTCAGGATATTGTTACATTATTTTCAACTTACTGCGCGGCTCGTTTTCATAATTATTGACAATTTATAACTATAAAAACGAGCCAAAAGGTTCGAATAATCGTATCACCTCTTTCCAAATCGTCCATATTTGTTTACAAGCTGAGAGACAATTAAGACGAATCTACCGTACAGCGTTATCTGGTTTCTGTACAGATCGCCGGAGGTCTGGAAAGGACTCAAGGACTTCTTCTCGGACCACATCCTGGCGACGTTGAGCTACGCGTTCGGGTTCACGCAGACCGTCGTTCGAACGATCCACCACGCGGCCATTGTTCACGAAGATCTGGAACACAGGCTGTATCGCGTCTCTCTGAACAACAAAGACGTCGTGGAACAATTACTCAACGTCGTGGATCCCAGCGCTTATCGAACCCTCGTGCGCTCGTTCTCCAGATTGAACTTCGTCGAGGTTGGTAGCTTTATCCTCCGGCAACCGTTTTTACATTTTATATTTCAGTCTTATTCTCTTGATCCACCTTTCTCGGCTTTGGATCGCTTCCAATAACTAATAACTCGTAGAATAGATAACCAATGATAAATAAAATAAATAACTAAGAAAAAGAAGAAACCATAAACTATAATCTTTTACGTAAACTAATTACCACATAATAAGGTATTACAATCAGATTACTGAAATTTCACTGTCTTTGCATACTTCCTTCTCTATAGGTTCCTTAAATAATTACATACTATATAACAATATAACCCTATCTAACCATAAACCCTAATCTTTTACGTAAACTAATTACCATATAATAAGCGATTACAATCAGATTACTGAAATTTCACTGTTCTTGCATACTTTCTTCTCTATAGGTTCCTTAAATAATTACATACTATATAACAATATAACCCTATTTAACCATAAACTATAATCTTTTACGTAAACTAATTACCATATAATAGAGTATTATAATCAGATGACTGAAATTTCACTGTCTTTGCATACTTCCTTCTCTATAGGTTCCTTAAATAATTACATACTATGTAACAATGTAACCCTATTTTAGTGACAATACCGGCAACCATTTTTATGTTCGATTATGCTAGATTCATAGCGGCGTAAGCGGCTCGTCTGACAATTTTCGCTTACGTCTTGTAGAATGTAATCTACACATGCCAAATTGTTAAAAGGACAAAAGGACAAAACGAATTGTAGAGTTACCGTGAATTGACTTGAACTTACAAAAATTATCGTAACAATTAATTCGTTCGGTGAACGATAAATTTGTTCGGTAAATAGTACATTTTGGTCGGAAAACAATACGTTTGACCAGTAAACGACGAATTTCTTTACGTAAACGATACATTAGGTCGGTAACCAATACGTTTGCTTAATAAACAATGCGCTCGACAGCGAACAATAACATCCCCAGTTTCTCGCAACAAGGAAAATATAACCTTTACGCCGCTACGATTCTAACCCGCCCTTATCCATCGCTGCGGCCGTTCGTACTGTGATTTTGTCTGTTTCAGAAATTTGTGGAGGCGGTCGAGGAGACGAAACCGGAGGATTATCTCTGTCGGGAGGATATTCTGCGGGAAGCGTTCGAAAATTTCCGGGACACCGACCAGGGAACAATCGTCGACGTGCTGTGCAGCAAGTCGGGGAAGAAGTTCCTCTCCGAAGTGTACGGGACTATGGAGCTCCAGAACTTCGAGAGGACTGTGCGTAGTTGAAGAGCTCGCGTGGCTGTGTCAACGCGTGGTTACGTTGTTATTGTTGTTAACAGGCGAGAGACACTCTGGAGGCCACCATGCAGATGGTGTTCAAGCAAGCTGTCAGCATCGAGAAAGCGAATCTGACGGGGGTGGTGAGCAGCGTGAACTCGTTCATGAGCTTCATGGAGTCGCCGAAGAAGCCGAGTCCGAATTGGTCGGCGTTCAAGGTCGACGAACGGTGGGCCAAGGCGTTCGAGGACACCAAACCGCAGAACAGACTGAACGTGTGAGTACTCGAGGTTGAAATGGTACTAGAAGAAGTCGCGAGACCCTGAAGAGTCGCCGTTCTTAACCCTTTGCCCTACGACCACGTCTGAGAAACGATTATCACGTCTGAGGTACGTGGTCGAAAGATCGGGTCAGAGGTGATTATTATCACTTCTGAGAGACGTGGTCGAGAAATAGGGTCAGAAATGATTATCACGTCTGAGAGATGTGATCGAAAGATCGGGTCAGAAGTGATTATCACGTCTGGGAGACGTGGTCGGATAATTGGGACAGAAATGAGAGCCCTGATGTGTCAGTCGGGCCAAATATAAATATAACTAGTTATCTTATATATACAAACACATAATTGTGGGACACCCTTTATACGAACAGCGTTATAAATAAAAGACTGCGGATTTTAGTGGAAATTCTTATTTTCACAAGTGATTTGGCAAAAGTTAGAATTCAAGAAAACATTTCCTCGTTAACTAGACGATCGAGTGCACATTGTGAAAATAAAATAAAAATGCTATTGCTATATATGTACAGAGTATCCCGAAAATGTCTCGCAATCCGGAAATGGGAGGTTCCCGAGGTCATTCGAAGCAACTTTTTCCTTTGTGAAAATTTTCTCCGAGGCTTCGTTCACGAGTTATCAACGAAAAACACTAACCAATAAGAGGGGAGCTCGGCTGGCGTGCGGCGGCCCAGCCAACGAGTGCACGGAGCCCAGTTCCGCTCATTGGCTCGGCCGTCTCGCGTCGAATGATCTCGCCTCTGATTGGTCACTGTTTTTCGTTAATAACTCGTAAACGAAGCCGCGGATTTCATTTTCGCTAAGGAAAAAGTTGCTTCGAACGACCTCGGGAATCCCCTACTTTCGGATTGCGAGACATTTTTGGGACACCCTGTATATAGAGAAGAATCCGCAGTCTAATTTCGAAGAATCTAGATCCAAAAGTTATCTCCCGGTTTTGAAACAGTCCTCGGCCTCTATTAATTCCTCGCATTCGTTGATTAGACCGAGACCCCAATTCCTCAGCATCGACCTCTTTCAATCCTCTTCGGACTCGCGCCGAACGAACAATGGATTTTCATTTTCCAGCCTCGGCATTCATCTGAGCATCGCGAAGATGGTCGGCTGCTGCAACCTCAGCTTCCAGGTGATCAAGTCCGACATGAAGACTATCGATTTCATCGCCCGGATGACGCTGCAGGAACTGGCGGAGAACAAGAACGACTGGGTCGGCGAAGTCACGCGCCACAAATACGAGCTGCTCGAAACGTTCTATTTAACCGCGACGGATAGAACAAAGGTCGGTGAACGATCGTCCTGAATCTAGGATCTACGCTCTGGTCCATAACTAGTTGAACGCTTCTTCATTTGCGACGTCCCAGCCCCTGGACAATGGATCCAGGCCGAAAGTGTTTCACGTTTCCTGCAAGAACGGCGTGCCATTAATGGCTCGGCCCTTGGTGGTTACGTTGTTAACAAATACAACGATGACCGAGCGATTTTACAGCGGTTACAGAATCATTCTAGACCCAAAGTAACTGTTACGCTTGTAGTGGTATTTAATATTATATACATATGATAATATTACTTAATATATAATATAATATTATATATTACATTATAATATATATATAATATTATTATAATAATATTATAATATTATATAAAAAAATATAATATAATAGTATTATATTTTTAAATATAATAATTATATTAAATATTATATTATAATAATATAATAATATTATATAATATTATAATATAATGTTATTACATATAATAATATGTAGCGTATAATATAATAAAATGTAATACAATATATAACATATAATAATATTATATATCTTAATGGTATATCATATTTGTACATTTCTATTCTTTATTATTTCTAATACGGACATATGCAAATATAGTTTCTCTTTAAATATCTATAGACAATGTGAAAGTTACTTAGAGTCTATAATTATGCACACCACTTTATCATCAGGATACAGTGATTCGCTATGCAGACCGTAGATTCGATGCATTTGCGATAAAAACGAGCAGAATGAATATCAAACTGTACAAACATTTGAAACATTTAATAATCTCTCTACGTTCTCTTCATTTTATTAAAATTATTACCAAGACAAATGCATTTCTGTTCAACTTATATTCGATAAAGTTTCGATCAAAAAGAACAAAGATTTCGCGTCGAACGGTTCCAACGACCAGGGGCTGTCTTCAACTTTTTCCCGCGATTCGAACGCGATCGTATCCGTCCGAAGAATCGTCCAATTCTCATCGACGAACACGCCCCGGAATTGCCGTGTCCCCGCTTTCATCACGGACGAACACTTTTATCCGCAGGTTTTGCAAATTTTAGAGTACGAGAACTTCACGAGATCGTACTGCGTGAACCGGAATCCGCCGCCGTTAATAAACTTTCCAAGCGACGCGAACGACACGTTGCTGAAGACGTTGGTCTGCCGTATGGCGGGCATGGTGCAAACCGACCTGGACTTGGACGTGGAGGCTGTCCAGGCGTCCACCGCCGATAAGAAGTTCAACTGGACCGAGTTCAACGAGGTGACGATCGCGGTCTATCGGTACGTCGACGTCCTGATCCACGAGAAGGCCCCGGCCCACAAACTGGTCAACTTGGAGAGGCTGAAGAGAAACTTCAGAACCTCCTGGAGCACCGACTTAAGCGCCAGGGACGGCTTCGAGATCAGGTTGGTGGTCGAGACGGGTTCGCCGGTTCGACATATTCATTTCATATTTGCTTTTCTGCGTACGGAAATGTCTCCCTAAATGACGCAATTTTGGTCTGCCGTCACTGACGCCGCTATATTCCTACCGCCCTGTAATTTATCGATTTTCTCGCTACGCCAATTTGACATCCTATCGCTCTATCGAAATAAGTTATAAACAATTCCGTCACCGCTGGAAGGTGAAGTCAACGACTGACAAGTGGCATGTATCTGCAGCGTAGGTCTGACCTGCAAGCTGTTCGACATTCTGGAGGGCCGTTTGTTCGACATTCGATCGAAGAGCGGCTGGAAAAACGTGGAAGACCTCGGCTGGAACATCACGCTGATACTCGACATGATGCAGAGCGCCTTGTTAGAGGTCTCCAGGGTAGATTCCGGGAGGGTGATACACTCGAAGAACTCGACCGCGCTGGAGATGCCCGAGACGAGGAGCCTGATCAGCGTTGGCCTCTTTAACCTTCGCGATCTGATCCTGGACGTGATCGACGTCGTCACCATGAGACCGATCCACCTGGTAACGAACCTTCGAACGCAGCAATAGCATAAATTCGGTGACAGTAAAATCTGTGAACTTGTCCCTCAGCTTGGGAACAAATGTGGGAAGAGGAGACACGATTACTGTCCATTTTCGTGCACAAGCCGAGCGTCGATTAGGGGGAATTCACTGTACAGTAATGTCTCTCTAATTGACGCACAGATTGTCCAGAAAACTGGACAATTCGGGAAGAGGAGATACGATTATTCGAGCCTTTTGGATCGTTTTTATAGTTATAAATTGTCAATAATTATGAAAACGAGCCGCAAGGCTCGGATAATCGTGTCTCCTCTCCCCAAATTGTCTATTTTTGCGGACAATCCGAGCGTCAGTAAGGCAGACATTACTGTATATATTATTATTATTATTATTATTATTATTATTATTATTATTATTATTATTATATTATATATATAATATAATATAATATATAATATATAATATATATAAGCGTTTTACGCTTTTAACAACCTTTTAAATAGAAACAATTTCGGCGATTTGAACGTTATATCTGGAACCGGATGAAACAATTTTTTAGCGTCGATTCTTCTCGCACGTTCAGTGCAGTCCTCTCCCGAAATTGTCCATTTTCGTTTAGAAGCCGTGGAACGATTTCAGAGAACAATTTGTACCTCGCCAGATATCCCTGTTGGACGACTACAACTCGCGGGAGGACCAATGGCCCTGCGTGAAACAGGAGAGCGTCGGGGCAGCGCTGGAGCTGCGAAGCGGCAGCCGCGCGGTGATCGAGAAAATGGAGAACATATCTTGCAACCCGGCGCCGATCATCAAGGAATGGAAGACCTATCCTTCGACGTACTTCGCCGCTCACGGTGTAAGTGTTCCGACGACTTCTCGCGGACGCGCTCGGTCGCGATCTCAGCGTAAAGGGAACGGTGTTCGTTGCAGCACGTCGGCGGCAAGCCGACATTCAATTGGACCGAGGGTTACAAAGCGTTCAGAAACCTGGCCGAACAGTTCGAGAGCTGGGTGATCGTCACGGAGAAGAGCCTGTCCGATTCCCTGGGCTCGTCGCCTTCGCAACCGGACGTCCTCGGCGGTCTCTCGACCCTGAAGAGCATATTCGACGAGAGGTGGCAGAACTCGAAGGACGACACCCAGTAAGATCGTGCACACCGCGACGAAACTATGAGACACCCCTGAATTTCTAGCGTTTTTTGGGCACCGAACATACTAAACACGTCCGACGCTTTATAAATATTATATTACCGGACCAAATTCGTTTTTCTTGGAATTTTTCTAAATTAATAATATTTATACGATTAATATACAGGTCCTCATACGTTGTCCCAAAAATGTCTCGCAATCCGAAAGTCGGGGATTCCTGAGGTCATTCGAAGCAACTTTTTCCTTAGCGAAAATGCAATTCGTGGCTTCGTTTACGAGTTATTAACAAAAAACAGTGACCAATCAGAGGCGAGATCGTTTGGCGCGAGACGGCCGAGCCAATGAGCGGAACTGGGCTCCGTGCACTCGTTGGCTGGGCCGCCGCGCGCCAGCCGAGCTCCCCTCTTATTGGTCAGTGTTTTTCGTTGATAACTCGTGAACGAAGCCTCGGAGAAAATTTTCGCAAAGGAAAAGGTTGCTTCAAATGACCTCGGGAACCTCCCATTTCCGGATTACGAGACATTTTTGAGACACCCTGTATAATATAATGTATAATAATATAATGTAACACATTTATAATATAATATAATATTTAATAATATAATATAATATACATAACATATAATAATATAATATAATATACATAACATATAATAATATAATATAATATACATAATATCTAATAATATAATATAATATAATAATATCTAATAATATAATATGATACAATAATATATATTTTTCTTATGAATAGTAGCGATCAAAAGTTTGTCCATCCCTGGTCCAAGCGGACACAGTCTTATCGCCCGGTAATTTTAGAGATAACAAACCAGCTAGAAATTCAGGGATGTCTTACAGTTTTGTCTCGACCAGAGATGAATAACCGACCGACGACTCGATTGTTCAAGCAACGTTCTGAGCCTCATCGACTCGGAGCTGGACAAGGCAATGTCAGCGTTCCGCAGCGACCTTCGGGCAGCCGACGTCTGGAAGGAGAACGTTTTCATGGACGACCGCGTTCTCATCACCGCGAAGTTCGCCTCCGATGTTCTTCACGAAGCAGCGACGCTCGTGTCGAAAATCTTGCGCACCGATACCACGGAGTATAACACGTTCGAAGACTATGTCAACGATACCACGTCACCGATTGGTAGGTTCGACGGAACCACGCACCGTACGTGTGTGACGCAATTTCTAAGCAATTAATTCTAATAAATCAAAATTGTTTCGCATTTGGGAGACTCCAGAGTGTTGCACCAGCAATTTATAATGATTTATAATAATAAATGTTGTCTTCTCTGTTCTTACAGTTTCCGTTAAATTGTTTCAGTCGCGTTAAATAATTAACCCTCTGCACACTCGATGATGTTGTTTTAACTGTGAATATAGAATATAATTTCCCTGTCTTATAGTGCAGTAAATTCTCGCTAATTTTTCTTCAGCTTTTAAAGAAAAAGTTGACAATTCGGGAAGAGGAGATACGATTATTCGAGTCCCTCGGCTCATTTTTATAGTTGCTGATCGTCGATAATTATAAAAACGAACGATCTCCACCGAATGATTCATTCAAATGATCCATTTCTTTTGTTTACAAGCTGAAGGAAAATCGAAGAGAATTTACTGTGTTCTCACTTAATACGACGAAGTGCATTTTTTTGCGTACGAAATTGAGTCTCGTGACCTATGCAACGGTTACGCTTTTAATAACGTTAAAATCTGAAATTTTAATTATCTTAAAAATTATATATTAAATAAAAATAAAAATATAATTATATAAATATAATTATATAATTATATTATATATAATATATTATATATATATATATAATTTAATATAATATATATATAATTATAATATAAATATATTTATAACATATTAAATATATTATATAATATAATATATTTATATATATATATATAATTATATATTAAATAAAATTATATATTATATATTATATAACACAATTTTAGCAGAGTGTCTCAGAGTCACCGCTCGATTCCGAAGCTTCGATATTCCTGGTTGCAGAATCGGAGTCCGGCAAGGTGCTCGTGATGAAGTGGCTGCCCCTGTTGGGTTTCACCAACGAAAGCCCGATTGGGATATTTTACAACAAACTGCCGCATCTTCTGGCCTCGCTGGCGAAAGGCTTGACCGATCTCGAGATGGACAAACTGGCCGTCGACTCGACGACGAACGGGATCGACGTCGTCTGCGAACAGCTGTTCCAGCATTGGCCGACCTTCTCCAACGGGTTCACGCGGGAGGATCGCGAGACCCTGAAGAAGTTCGTGTGCCACCTTTCCACCGACAAATTTAACGCCTTCGCGGACATGTTCTGGACCGAAACGATGGTCTGGTGGATGCAGGCGAAGGGGTATCGATCGCGGGTGATGACGGTCATCGGCGACCTCTACGATCTGACGAACGTCGTTCGAAACCTCACAAGGACGAACGTGGCGATCGAGGTACCTTTCTCCAACCACTATTTCAAGCGGTTCCTGTCTGAGATGCTAACGGCGTTCGAGGAATCCGAAGAATACCACGAGGTAAGATGTATTCGGTCGTGTAGCAAGTCCGTTCGCGGACCTCTGACACCTAGGAAAAGCCGAGGAAAATTGTACGAATTCAAAGCGATGATTCAAATGAATTTTGAAATACGTTCTCGCGGGATTATTTCTATAAAATATAGCTTAAATTAAAGCTGGAAGTGTCTACTTTAAGACAGGGTATATTAGATTGCAATAGAACGACGAGATCGTTTTGGAAAATTAGGAGGAATCGTTCTCTGACATCGTGGGGTTTAGGAGATCTAAAAGGAAAAGTTCAGATGAATTTATAAATATATCTTGATGGAGCTATTTCTGTGCAACTTAGCTCGAATGAAATCTGAAAGTGTCTACTTTAAGACAGGGTAGATTATAATGCAATAGAACGACGTGATCGTTTTGGAAAATTAGGAGAAATCGATCTCTGACATCGTGGGATTTACGAGATCAAAAAGGAAAAGTCCAGATGGATTTTCAGATATGTCCTCGTTGGTCTATTTCTGTGAAACTTAGCTTGAATGGAAGCTGAAAGTGTCTACTTTAAGACAGAGCAGATTACAATGCAATAGAATGTCGAGAACGTTTTGAAAAATTAAAAGGAATCGATCTCCGACATCGTGGGTTTTACAAGATCTGAAAGTAAAAGTTCAGATAGATTTTAAAATACGTTCCCATAGCACTATTCCTATGAAACCTAGCCTAAATGAAAACTGAAAATGTCTACTTTAAGACAGGGTAGATTAGATTGAAATTATTTAACAAGTCCGTTCGCGTCGGCGGCTGGTACTATATCCTCTCGCAAGAGAACATGGATGGACTTATTACGCAACCTAATGATTTAGCCAACGATTTAGGCTAATGATTTAGCGATTCTCTAGAACTTCATATGCTGAAACGCCTTTTCAAGGACTCCGAGCCCCAGGCACCCATCGATTGGACCGACTACAGGCTCGGTGTCGAGGGCGTGTCCGAGTGTCTGCTTCACGTCGCGAACACCGTGGAGGGCATCAACAACAGCAGCAGACGTCCGAGTAGCCGTATGAACGTCTGGGACTTCGTCGAGGGCACGGACGTGCGACAATTGCTGAGGATCCTCGAGGCTCATCCCGAGGAGACGATCGCTCTGGTAGCACAGATCAGCGCGATCGGCTCGAAGACTGGCAACTTCTCCTACGAGAACGTAAGGAAGACGATCTGCAACACGCGGCTGCCTCTGGTCTATTGGTCCGTCGCGAACAGGAGCCGTTTCATCCAACAGGTGTGCTCGTTCGACCCTTATCAGTTGCTGAAATCCGTCACCAGCGAGGAGTATTACGTGAGTAATAAAAATTCCAAGAAACTTGGACTCCTGGAAAGAAAATTGCTTGGTTCGGTTGCTCGGCACGCGAGCGACTAAACGCGGAGTACCGAGATCAAGATCGTCTGCGTTCATTGCAGGAAATCTAAGTCCGGCGAAAATGCATTTTCTCGTTCAATAATTGCGACAAGTTGAAATTAACGCGACGATACCTTCGAGGAGGGAGACTCGTGTGAATCGTCCGAACGAGAGGCGATGTTTCGCAATTTTTTTATAACATAAGACCTCGACGATATTTATCGCCACTTGGCACATAGATTCTTCAACGTTTCAAGATACAAAGTGTATTTTTTATTGTCCCCCTTTATCGATTTCTAATGAAATCGCACGCGTTGTTCCTCGCGGACCTCACTCGTCGACGGTCATCGCGCGGTCTTCGCGATGGTGTTACGCGTCGCGTAAAAATGCAACGGAAAAAAGAATGCAAATGCATAAAATCGTCTACCGATGATCGACGATCTCTCCTCTAATTGTCTACGCGTCCTCCTTTGCAGCTGGCCCTGACAGTCCGAAGATCCAGCCTAACGAAACTGACGCCGCTGAACGCGTCGCTCGGCAAGCTGGTGAAGGCCGTGTCGACGCTGTTGTCGACGGTGCCGGACCTCGAAGTGCGGTCGAGCATCTTCGAGGCGAAGACCTGGCTCGGCATGTCGAACGACACTCTGACGGAGATCCGCAACGTCGGACGGTCGTGGGTGCACTGGTACGCCCAGGACGCGAAGAACGCGAAAGCGGGCCAATCGAAGGTGGAACGTTTCTTCGAGACGGATGACACGTTCGGCAAGCTGATCGGCATGTACCAGCTCGTGGACGCGTCGATCGACCTGATGGCCGGCGGGGACGTCTGGCAGAAGCTGCGAAACCATTACGAGGCCTCGAAGGTCAAGCCACTTCTGACCTTGATGGAGGACACGCCGAACATCGTGGTCAGCATCGTCGACACTTTCCTCAAGTCCGACAGGCTGGATCAGTTTCTGGGGAAGCTGGCGACCGGCAAGGCGCACCCGTGCGACCTCGACAAGTACCTGATCGTGCCCGGCTTCGTCAGGAAGAAGGTCCTGCTGTCCAGCATCGCTAATTTCTGCGAGAGGATCGTCTTCACCGATAAACCGCCGGTCATGGCCGACTGGCTGCCTTTCGATGCTAAGTACGAGGTATCGAACTGTGATCTTCTTTTCCCGATTACTTGGTTGTTTATCCGAAGTTTTATCCGAAGGATTATTATGCTTCAGTTATTTTACCGGACGAGTTGTGTCGAGGTTATATTTTCCTTTCTTCCGCGTTCTCGATGCGAGCGATTAACCTTTTAGGCACGACGCGCCACTATAGTGGCTTTTGCGGATGTCATCTCTCTGGACGACGCGCCACTATAGTGGCTTGCTCTAGTAGCTCACTCGCTCATCGTTTCAACCAAATAATCGTCTTCATATGTATTGTTTCAAACTTCTTTTGTCTTCACATCGATTTACAACAGTCTACAGGATGTCCCAAAAATGTGTCGCAAACCGGAAACGGCGGGTTCCTCGGATCATTTGAAGCAACTTCTTCCTTTACAAAAATGTTCTCCGAGGCACCGTTAACGAGTTATCAACGAAAAACAGTGCGCCAATAAGAATCGAGTACGGCTGACGCGAGGCGGCCCAGCCAACCAGCGCGCGAAGCTCAGTTCCGCTCATTGGCTCGGTCGCCTCGCGCCAGCCGAGCTCGCCTCTCATTGGTCACTGTTTTTCGTTAATAACTCGTTAACGGTGCCTCGGCTGTCTCTTATACACATCTAGATGTGTATAAGAGACAGCTCCGAGGCACCGTTAACGAGTTATCAACGAAAAACAGTGCGCCAATAAGAATCGAGTACGGCTGACGCGAGGCGGCCCAGCCAACCAGCGCGCGAAGCTCAGTTCCGCTCATTGGCTCGGTCGCCTCGCGCCAGCCGAGCTCGCCTCTCATTGGTCACTGTTTTTCGTTAATAACTCGTTAACGGTGCTTCGGAGAACATTTTTGTAAAGGAAAAAGTTGCTTCAAATGGCCCGAGGAACCCGCCACTTTCGGATTGCGAGACATTTTTGGGACACCCTGTACATACAGTGTCAGAGTCTGTACAGTACACATTGGACTCTGCCGTCCACAGTGAAATAGCCTCGCGCAGAATTCAGCCGTACCTAAAAGGTTAATAATGCTTCCAGGAGAATCCACTGTCCCGNAAAAGGTTAATAATGCTTCCAGGAGTATGGACTGTCCCGGACCGGCGAGAAGAACTTCAACGAGACTTACTTTCTGGAAAGAGTGGACCGGTTGCAGTCCACGATCATTCGCATAATTTCGGAGGGGCCGAGGTCGCCGAAGGTCCCTATGTGGTGGACCTCGTTCAAGGAGGGCACCTTCAACGACTTCCTGACTCACTACAGAAAAGAGGTGCAACGTCTCGAAATAATCGTATCTCCTCTATCCCAAATTCTCCACTTTTGCGCACAATCTGAGCATCAATTAGGGAGAAATTACTGTACTAACACCATTTCTAGTAACATTATTAGTAAAATTTCTCGAACATAACTTTTGAACTTAGCCCGCTGGTCGACTTTCAGGCTCGTTCAGCGTCTCGATGACTTTGTCGCAGCTAAAAAAATTCAATTGAATAATTTCGTTTCCAATTATTACATCTAACAAAAATATAACGATTACAATTCTGCCAGGACACCAGAGCGCTCGCTCATTCCGCGGTGAAGAAGCTCGCGAAGATCGGCTTGGATATCCTGAATTCCGACGCGAGTTCCAAGAAGTAAGTCTCCGGAGGAGTCTTCCATCGTCGCGAGTCGAAACGGTAAAACGCCTCTTCTTTTCTGAACCCTTTAGGGACTGTTCCTGGTGCTTCTCGATGTCCCTGATCGACGTGCTGAATTCCCAGCTGGAGAACCACCGGCTCTACTCGGAACTATCCTGCCAGCTGAGCCGATTGAACGTATCGGAGATTCATGAGCTCGTGCTGCGCGATTTCCATTGGGACGAGACCACCCACAAGGTGAGCGACGCAGCGCCGACACCTGTCTCCCACCCCCCTTATCCCCCGTGCACTTCTGTGCCTGACGTCGTCTCTGACATCCTTCCCCCAGATCAAGCATTTCCGGACCCTGTACGCGGACAAGACGAAGGAGGAGTGGATGGCGGCGCTGGAGAAGATGCTGCACCACGTGGTGGACATCGCGATGGACTTCCAGAACGAGACGTACAGCGACAGGATCGGCGAGTGCTACCGCAAGTTCTTCGGGTCTCCGCCGTTGTCCAGACCGGGGCTGTAAGTCGTCGAATCGGAATCGCGAGCGCGCGGAGGCTCTAACAGCTCGTTGGAACTCTTTCGAAGGTACGTGTCGGTGATGCTGGGCATCGTGGAGAACCTGCGGCAGAACGTGTTCATCCTGGACACGGCCAGGTACCACAGGAACATCGACTCGCTGAGCAGAATGGCGGCCAAGTACGTCCCGATTTGGAAGAACCTGAGCGACGTGGCGCTGCCGAAGTTCGCGCACGAGGTCGAGGCGTTCCTGCCCGGCGCGACGATCAACGTGAACGCGATCATGAACGACAGGGAGGGCTCCCTGTGCGCCACGAAGCCGGAGTGCCGGAACGTGACGCTTCTGGCGAAGCGTTTGGGCTCGAAGAGCGCCGAGAAGCTGTTCCGGTACGATCCAAAGGCGGCCGACTATCCCAGCACGTGGCACATCGCCGATCGGCTGTCCTGGACCCTCGACGTGGACCGCATAGATCGCGAGTTGAAGGGCTGGAGGATGGACGCGTCCTTGGACCTGACTTGGCTCAGGGAGATCTTGAGACACTTGTACACGGTTCTAGCGGAGAGCGGCGACCTCCTCGACGTCGCCAGCAAGATAGACTTCGAGGACATCTCGAACGTCCTCGGAGTGCCGGACGTCGTCGACGGGGTGCTGAATATCTTGAGGGAGAAGACCGTGGACAAGCTGTTCAACGGGTGAGTTGGCCGCCCGGTTGGAACGATTTTCAGCTACTTCGACCCTTCCGTTATGCCAGCGCCGGCTGCAGCCGGCGTCCGCGCGACGCTTCAGCTTCAAGTCAGTCTCCTTCGAGCTCCAAGCGGCCGATATGCACACTTTACCGCGCGGTGGCCCGCTCATTGGCGTAGCGAACCACGTACTTACTCCGGCGAAGAGCGAATTGCCTAATGGGTTAAGGGCGGCGAAGGTATACGCTGGAATTTCGTCGACTTTGGGCGCGCGTAACTTCTGAACCAATGGGTTCCGCGCTTTGGAACTTGAATTGTCGTTGTTCTCTCGTCGAGATCTGTGGAAATATGTCTTTCAAAGTCGACGAATTTTGGTCCCCCAAAGAAAAGTTTAGCCGGCTATGGTGTCATAGCTGATCGTCCGGCGGATACCAGGATCTATGTACTTCAGGGATCTTCGAACCGCGATGTCGCTTTCGGAGCAAGTCGTGGCGATTTATTGAGAATAAATTATTTCAGTCTTCGCTGTAGACTTTTGGGTCAGAGTATCTATGGTAGACATTGAAGTAGCTAAATCGTTGATTGATTTCACGGCGCGGCTCTTTTCGTTATCAGAGCAATGAGACACGAGCTTCTATTTCACAGAGTGAAAGAGGTAGTGGAGGACGTGAAGCCGTTCGTCAAGGAGCCGGAGATCCTCGACGACATCTACGAGATGGTCTCCGCCCTGGAGTCGATGGACATCTTCAAGAACCTCGGCCTTCTGAACATGAAATGTAGGCGATCAAGCTTCTTCTTCCAATGACTTCGGGACTCGCTCCGTGACGACGATGATTTTTCTGTTCAAGACGTGGTCAGGGACATGTTCGACGATTGGGACCTGGTGAACTCGTATCTGACCGATAAGATCCATATATCGAACAACGTTCTGGCGATGCTGAGCGAGGCGAAGATCGACATGATCTCCGTGTTCATGAAGGAACGGAAGGCTCTCAGCATGAAGGAGATCATCTGCTCGCCGAAGAAGCTCGGCGAGATGCTGAGCTTCAACGAGAGGGTCACCGCGACGGAGGTCAGTGCTGCCATTTGCCAGCTGGACGACGCCCAGACGCAGAACGTCACGATTGCCATGATCAAGAACATGAACTTCGATTATATTTTCAAAACGGTGTGTACTGCTAATATTAATCATTCATTATATGATAAGTATGTGATAATTATGTGATAAGTATGTGATAATTATGTGATAATTATAGGATAATTATATGATAAGTTTAGGATAATTTTAGGATAATTATAGGATAATTATAGGATAATTTTATGATAATTATAGGATAATTATAGGATAATTATAGGATAATTTTATGATATTTTTATGATAATTATAGGATAATTATAGGATAATTTTATGATAATTTTATGATAATCATAATCAGTTGATGAGCGCCAACGTGAAGAACATCCTGTCGAATGCGAACCTGACGGAGGCCGAAGGGAAAATGGTGTTGGCGAACCTTGGCGTAGCAGCGGAACTGATGCCCTTCTTCAAGGAGAAGTTAGCCTCCGGCGTGCCGACGGCGGAGCCCTTGAAGTCGAGCCTGCAGACAGAAGAAGAGGATCAGCCGATGTCCAGTGAGCCAGCAGTTTGAATAACGGGAGAACGCGAGAGCTTCGATTAAAAATATTAGATCGAGTCGTAAATAACTTCCGATGCTGCGAAATATAATTAAATTTAATTATAATAAATAAATAGAATAACATCGTCGCTAAGTAGACGAGGGTTCAAGATAAGTCAAATAAAATAGATGAAATAAAAGGAAATAAATTAAAAAAAAAAAAGAAATACGGAATAAATATCCGATAAGAAAACGAAAGATATCCGTGACTCGACCTAAAATACAATTTCAACCACCAGCTTCCAAGTTCCTCGAGGACTCCAGCAAGATGCTGTGCGGCCAGGCGATGGTCTCCGACAACGGTGACCTGTACAAGATCATCTCGAGGATCGAAGACAACAGCAAGCAGTACGACCAGGCGGAACTCGATTCGTTGCCCAGTACGTAGACCCAGCGAGTTTATCGGTTCGATTCGGAGTTTCGTCGTAAAGAATTTTAACGGTCTCTCTCTCTCTCTCTCTCTCTCTCTCTCTCTCTCTCTCTCTCGTCGTAGCCGACTTCTGCCGGGACACATACAAGAGTTTCGTCGGCATGGGAGGCGGCAAGATAATATGGTCGTACGTGAAGCCGCTGTTGCGCGGACAGATCCTCTACGCGCCTAACACGACGGTGATAAACAAGGTTATGGCACTGTCCAATAAAACTTTCGCGGAGATGGAGAATTTCGGCGTGTTGATGGACAGCCTTCAGAGGACGCTCTCGTCCTTGGCGAACCTCTCGGAGATGAGCGACAACCTAAAGGATCTGCAGGACATGATGTCCTCCGACGTCATGAAAATCGCGATCAAGTCTTTCGGCGGCGGGAACGTCAACGGTGAGTTATCATATCGTTTCTTTTTGACGTTATTTTGTTTTGTTTAAGTAAATAAATAATAATAATAATAATAAGTAAAATGTAACAGTGAGTAAAAATAATATTAGGTAAAAAGTGGTAATAAGTAAAAGATAATGGAAAATAAAAATAATATATATAATATAATATAATAATATAATAATCTCTCTCTCTCTCTATATATATATATATATATATATATATAATAATAATATAATATAATATAATATAATAGCAAGTAGAAAAGATACTAAGTAAAAAGTAGTAATAATAAGTAAAATGTAATAGTAAGGAAAAGTAATACTGAGTGAAAAATACGAATAGGTAAAAATAATAATAAATAAGATATAACACTAAGACAAAAACGATAATAACTAAGAAATAATAATAGATAAAAACAATAATAAATAAAATATAATACTACGTAAAAGATAATAAATAAATAAATCCTCGTTTTAATTAGCAAAGAATTTGGCACCCAAATTTTTAATTAGCACTATACGCGTCATATTTGACACCCAACACAAGATATTTCGTGCTTGGCAGCGAATGTGTTAACCGCTACATTTGCAACGAATTATATCAAATCTATTCTACTTATATAATTTGAATCGATATGTCGAATAAAAAAGGTTCCCCGATTTCAAAGAAGAAGAATCGCAAAACGAGTCCGATCATCTCGATCCCCCTGTTCCAGGCGATCTGTCCGGCATGAATCTCAGCGAGATATCGTGGCAGCTGAAGAAGTCGCGGCGGCTGATCAAGATGATCGGCATGCTGAACGATCTGTTGGGATGCGTGCTGGTGAATCGCGTACGAGGTTTCCGAACGGAGGACGACATGGAGGCGGAGGCGCGCGCGTTGATGGAGACGAGGGAGTTTCTGGCAGGCGTGGTCTTCGTGGAGGAAGAGCCCGGAAGATCGAGGAGATCGCCGCGCGGCGAGCTGCCCGAGCACGTGGTGTACAAGATCCGAATGGACGTCGACTACGTTCAATCGACGAGGAGGCTGAAGAATCAGTTCTGGATCCCCGGGCCGGAGAGCAGCTTCATAGAGCACCTCCGCTATCTCCGTGGATTCGTGCAGCTCCAGGACTCCATCGATCGCGCGATCGTGCGCGAGAAGAGCGGCAAGGATCACGAGTGGAAGACCGTCACGCAACAGATGCCGTATCCTTGCTGGAAGCAAGTGCCGTGAGTATGGCTCGAATCCCCGACAGCCGATTCTCCCCCGTAGAATCTTTGTATCGAAGTCAGTTGCTTGGCGCAGGTTCCAAACGACCCTGTACGAGTCCCAGGGGATCCAGGTCTGCTTCTTCTTCGCGTTGATGATGTGCGTGGGCGCGGCCGTCAGACACATCGTCTGGGAGCGGGAGTCGCAGAACGCGATGGTAGCTATGGAACGCGAAGAGCTCTCGGAAGATTAGACTTAGCCGAGATTGTTTGATTGAAAAAACGACGGATTTATTGTCGCCAGGTGATGAGCGTGATGGGCTTGAAACCCTGGCGCAACACGATGGCCTGGTTCGTCACCACTTTCGCGGAGCTGATGGTCGTGATGGTCTCGATCGCGGTGATCCTCCTGGCCGGCAAGATCCTGCCGAAATCCGATCCCCTGTTGATTCTGATCATGATGATCGACTACTCGTTCTCCATCGTGACCTTCTGGTAAGCCGACGCTACCGGCTGCCGTTCCGAACGTGCGTTGCCAGGGAATCGATGGCGCGTCGGATAAAGCGAGCTCCTCGTTTCCCCCCACTCTCGCACCGCGGAGTCTCGGATGGGGGACGTCGAAGGGAGGGGCGATGCGCCGTGCCCGAGACGCCGACCTACGCGCGGCGTCGCGTGACCATCTCGCGCTGCTGCTGCTACCTGTATCCCCTCCGTTGGTCCCCGCCATCGATTCTCTGGCAACGCCGGTCCCGAACGTTAACTAGCCACTTCGCGGTGTGCTCTGATCTCGCTAAAGGACGCCCGATCAATTTCCAGCTACATGATTTCGACGGTGTGCAGCTCGGCGAGCTTGTCCGCCATCACCACGGTGGTAATGTTTTTGCTGACGTACATGCCGTACGTCATTGTCATTGCTATGGAGGCCGTATTAGGTCTCGGCTATAAGCTTCTCATCGTAAGTTATCGTTCCCGCCGTATCCGGGAACCGTTCGCCGTGATAAATAACGCGTTCGAGCGATTCATTTTCGCAAACTGCGCCGGCCGCGATAAGATGCGCGCCTTTTGTGCGAACTTTGCCCCCCGCCCCCCTCCCCTTCCCTCTAGCTC